GTCAGAGCGGAACACAACAAGGGGGGTAGATGGTTGTAAGGGGTGTGGGGAGGCTTTGGTAATAGTTTTGAGGAGGTAATTTACACCAGGTGGGACGAACGCCGTCAGCTGTAAACTCTGACACAGCTGTTTCCGCCCAGGAGCGCTACTGTTAACAACAGCGGACTGCCGGACGGACTACAATACTGGCGATACGGCGGTGGAGTTCTTCCGGGGTGCGAACAAGGGTCCAACATCGAAAACGAACCGCGTCCTTCGAGAACTAACTCTCCACAAAACCACAAAAAAAAACACCAAATAAATAAACCGTGCTTGCAAAAAGGGCTCAAGATCCTAACGCAAGATCCTCCTCATAAATCACTTGGGAAGGTATGTTCCAAGCAGCACCCCCAACGACCACCCGCGCAACCCAACTTTAACCCAGCGCCGCAAAAAAAAAATGACGAAAAAAAAATCCTTCCGAGAAGACGAAACACGACAACGCCGGCCGTGCATGCATACATGCGCCGGCGATGATGCCGAGATGGTTCGGGCCGAGAGACAAAGGGAGATTAACTCATGATTCATGACTCGCCTAAACCCTTCCTCACTCACCACTCGTGACTCTTATGACCCACTCATGACTATTGGCTCACTAAACCCTTCCTCTCTCATGTCTCATGACTGATGACTCCATGACTCACTCACGACTCTTGGCTCACCTAAACCGTTCCTCATTCATGACTCACGACTCTTATCACTCTTGACTCATGACTGATGAGTCCATCACTCACTCATGACTGTTGGCTCACGTAAACCGTTCCTCACTCATGACTCATGACTAACTATTCCATGACTCACTCACGACTCTTGGCTCGCCTAAACCGTTCCTCATTCATGACTCACGACTCTTATCACTCTGGACTCATGACTGATGAGTCCATGACTCGCTCATGACTGTTGGCTCACGTAAACCGTTCCTCACTCATGACTCATGATTGACTATTCCATGACTCACTCATGACTCTTGGCTCACCTAAACCGTTCCTCATTCATGACTCACGACTCTTATCACTCTTGACTCATGACTGATGACTCCATGCCTCACTCATGACTGTTGGCTCACGTAAACCGTTCCTCACTCATGACTCATGACTGACTATTCCATGACTCACTCATGACTCTTGGCTCGCCTAAACCGTTCCTCATTCATGACTCACGACTCTCATCTTATGACTCTTGACCACCACCATTGACTCACCTAAACCCTTCCTCGTCGGATTCGATCGCGAGCGCGTGCGTGCTCCACAGCCAGGCCACGCTCCGCTCCCCCTCCGCCTCCGGCGCCCCCGTGGCCGCCGCCCCCCCGCCGTCCTCGTCCGGGGGGCCCCTGTCACGTCACCAGCCAAGGGTTTCCAATCATACGATGGGATGATGTCCTTAGCACGGGTACGTTAGAATCATGGTAGGTACATACGCGCGCTGGCGAATGTGCTTGTTGCTGTTATTGTCTTTAACGTTATAAACCGTTGCGGTCTCCGCTCAATACTATAACAGTCTAACTGACGCAACGCCTTCCGTGGTCACAAAAGCCAACTCCCCCCAAAAGGGGCACACCTTTCTAGAAATCAAAGAACCAAGATGACTAAAATCAACAACATAAAGTCATCGATGGGGGTGGGGGGGGGGCAGCGGTGTTCGGTGCACTTGGGCGATATGGAGGGGAAGCACAGCCGGTTGCGGCCTGGCCCCCGAGGGTAACACAAGACAACCGAGTACATCGTTGCGTTTGAGCACTCAACCCACGCGCAATTGCAAGGTCATACCTCGCTCGCTAGCAGCAGCAGGACAGAAATTGGTTGCATACGACAATCAAGATTGGCCTTGGACTCGTCGGAGGAGATGCTTTGCTTTGTCCTACAGTGAAAAGGGTTTTTGTTTCGACCATGCAACAGCTCCGGGCAAAAGGTAGAGGGCTTCCTTTTATTACCTGGGGCCCCTAGCGGCGGAGTTGTTTCGTTCCCGCTCTGAGAACTCCCACTCCATAAACTTGACGAAGGTCATCGCCCTTGGAAGGTCCGCCTTAGGCCTTCCCGTCACCTGTTGTCGTGGGAAAAAAAATCGTTAGTACAGTAATAGTGGTCCTGGCTAATGCCGGTAGATGACAGCCCGGTAGTCTACGCAGCAAAATTAATTAAGCAAACATATGGGATAAAGTATTGAATCCGTGCTTTGGGGCTAGGGTTAGGGGTAGGGATAGGGTCTGCGTGCCCCCTCACTAGTATTTTTCTAAATACTCTTGAAATCATGCGTAGGCGGTCCGCTCCTTGGGCCTGTATTATGGCGGGCAAATTCAGAGCGTGAAACAACTTGAATATCCATCTGTGCCAGATGATTTCACCGGCATTATTCACCCGGCATTGCAGCGGGATCAACTACTGCTGTGCTCATTTATTGGCGTGATGATATTGTTGGACGAAGTACATTCGGATAAGATGGGTCCTGACGCAACGATGCATGGGACTCCTGCTGCTGTCGGCGAACGGAAAGAACAGCGGTGGTGCAAGATCCTCAAAATGCTTGCTTGCCCGATTGACTGGCGACTGTCCATCTCTCAAGTCAGTTGGTCATGTTGCGCGGTCAATTCTAACCAAATAAACACGTACGTAACACCAACACGTTTCTCATATCTTCTTCTCCCGCCCGAAACTCGGTCTTTTCGTTTTATTGGCCCGCAGGTTGTAGAGATGAGTTCCACACTACCACTGCTGTCTGCCGAGGAAAAGACGAGGGGAGATATCGCTACATCGGGGAACCGTAGAAATACAAGCTAGTCATCGTACAACACTATAATACTATAATTAATTATTGGCTCTTGTCTGTGGAAGAAGATAAAGTTGAGTGTTTTCGTAACAAATACAGAACGACTGACCAACTTACCTCGCATGGCTTGAGAGGTCGACACTACCATTTACTACCGTCAGCAAAGGAAAAAAAAGGGGGAAAAGACATAGAATCAACTAACCTCACAAAGCTTGAGAGGTCGACATTGCAATACTGCTATATACTACCGTCAGCCAAGGGAGAAAAATGAAAAAATGAAAAAATACCAACCGATCAACTAACCTCGCATCGCTTGACCCGCACCCCGCGGCACCACAGCTCGAGCAGCAGCTGGTTGCCGGAAGAAAAGTAACCGCTGCCGTGCTTGCGGCCGTTCTCCCAGACACCGTCGTAGACCGCCTGGTTCGCGTACGTGTACGTGCCCGACCCGGACTGCTCTCCCCTCTGTGCCGGAACAGAGTGCGTCAGGGATAGGGGGGGTCGCAAGCGAGGAGACGAGGCCGGCGAACAGAGAGGGAGAGAGGGAGAGAGAGGGAGAGAGAGAGAGAGGTGGCGGTGTCAGACAGAAAAGACGCAGTAGAGAAAAGAGACAGCAAGAAAAAACCAGTATGGCCTCTGTTGGGCTCTAGTATCCTATAACAAAACATGCATAGTCGCTCTTGGGTAAACACAAGACCTTACAAGGTGGCAGCCGGCATTGTTTCTACAAGAGAGAAGAAAAAAAAAAAGTAAAAAACGCCTCCTCGGTCTGGCCCCGAAACCCGGGGTTTCCTTCCCGTCCACACCCGACCCGTACCTCCCAGTCCCCCTCGTAGCAGTCGCCGTTGGCCCAGTGGTAGGTGCCGCAGCCCTGACGAAGGTCGAGGCAGTACTCTCCCTCGTGCCTGTCCCCGTTGGCGAACGCCTTCATGCCCCACCCGTGGGCCTTGTCATCGTGCCACCTGCCCCAGAGACAGCCACAGCCATTTCGTGATTGATGAGCTGAAACCATTGATGAGTTGTAAACATCATCAGTCAGCCGACCAATCTAAATTGGTTCTGTGGTGCTATGTGAATCTCGACAAACGCTGGCTTCGCGGACGCCACTGCCCCCCCCCCCCCCCCCCCGCGCGCCCCTTTTTAACCTTTAAAAAGGGAGAAAAGGAAAAAACCAAAAACCCCAACCCCCGGGGGAGGGAAAAAAAAAAAAAGGCAACCCAAAATAAATTTTTTAACCCCCCCCCCGCCCAAACCTTCCCCGTTGGCCTGTTATTTGAACCCCTTCCCGGAAATGCTCCCCCCCCCCCATAACCCCCCTAACCAATTCCCCCTTTCCCCCGGGAACCACCCCAACCCCGGTCCCTTGGCCCCGGGGAAACCCCCCCCGGGACGGCCCCCCCAGGGAAAACCCAAAAAAAAATTTTTCTTTATGGGCCAAAGCCCCCCAAAAATTTTAAAAAAATTTTTGGAAAAAAAAAACACCAAAAAAATTTTTTTCCCTCCTTTTTGGGGGGGGGTACCTTTTTTTGGGGGGTAGTTTCCTTACCCCCCTTGATTTTTACTTTTTGTTTTGGGGCAGAGAAGGTGGCCCCCAAAAACCAATATTTTTTGGCCTCCACGGAAAAAAAAAAAAAAAAACCCCCCG